TGTACTTGCCTTGTATAATGCATTGAATAGTTCTTTGTTGTAGCATTCATTTATAAGTTTTCCATTTTTTTCTTTCTGCACAGGTTGTTGAAGTTTGATTGTAATTGATTTGTGCCTTTTCTTGATACTGTGTTTGGTTCTGTTTTTTTTTTTGTACTACTGATATTCATTGAGAGTCTTTCACTAAAATGTTAAGGTTTACTGGGTCTGAAAATTGAATTTCCAGGTCTCTAGTTAACGGTTAGAGGTATTTTCACTAATTTTGGAGTTTTTTTGCTTTTCTTTAACTTTTCATTTTTGTTACTTTTTTTGTCGACCAAGAAGTTACTTAATAGATTGTAGATTTTTTTTCTAGACTGGTTATTGGTTGTTGCATAAAATATTTTTGTTTTCTTTTGACTTTTTTTTTGAGATCAAACACTTTTTTTGTCCTGTCTCATTTTTTTAGAAAGAGCTCAAGATTTGTCCTTAGTTGATTCCTAGTTAGGTAGTATTTTGTGCAAGCGATTTCCCCCCCAGAGTTGTTTTCTTCTAGTGTTCCATTTTTTCAGGTTACACATGCTCTCAAGATATCTCTCCCAAGCATCAGAGGGATATGGGCATTTGGATCAAGCTTCGGGATATAAGCTGCCACCTACTCCAGATGGGGGTGGTAAAGGGATACCTCAGGTGTTTGAATTTCATCTCTGTCGTGGAGGATTTCATTACATTCGATGAGCGGAGGGAGAGGTAACTTACTCCTCCATTCACTGCTTTGATCTGAAAGCTGTCAGCCTCTTTTCCTGTCATTTCCATGACCCCAGAAGAAGTTCTGAGCAAGTGGGGTGATGGACTCCCTTTAGTGTTGAAAAGATCAAAGCAAACTGACCTTGCCAATAACCGGTTGCTCTGATCATCAAGTATGCCATACATCCTGACCGCTGCCTCAAGCAGATGTTGTGGGTACACCTCTGTTAAGCATATCTTGGAACAGTTGTGCTGTCAGATTCTTGCTACGTACTTCAATTCATTGGGAACAGGCTGCAGGTGTCATGGTAGGGTGAACACTTTTCTCCCGGCTTTGATGTAATGCAGACAGGACAACCTTTACTTACTAGTGGGCTGGACCCTGGTGCATGGCTGAGCTGTGCTGATCGCTATCACAGTTGTTGCATTTAACTGCCCCCTGGCAGTCCTTTGCAAGATGATACATTGATGCACAGCACTTCAAGCATATTCTATTCTCTCTCAGGTAAGATCTCCATTCATCAATTGGTTTCACTTGAAAGCCTCTGCATTTCTTGAGGAGTTGTGGCTTATGGTGGATGGGTCAGCTTTTGCCAGGACTGTCATCTTTCTTTCGTGTTGCATCTGCACTTGAGTCTGCTACTTTGACAACATCTGTCCTGTACACACGTTTCTTATGTTAGGTCTCTCACTCCTCAAGGGACAGTTGCTGGTGGTGAAAGCATAACTGGGGTCATCTCAGGTTTAGGTCTTGGATTAAACTATTCTGTGAAGGAGAATGGGGTAAAAGATGTCATTGTCCCTTTTTATACCTCTCCTGCAGGCTGTGAGGGAGTTTCTCAAGTAATGGATTGATGCCGTGGGCAGTATCTAGATAGACAAAACTACAGTAGATATAAATCCATCTTCATACATGCTGGACCTCCATCAGCAGGACTCCAAGCTCTCTCAAGTTAATGTGATCTTTGCTCAGGGGAAGGTCTGGGAAAGACACCTGACATGACACATGAAACATGACACCTTCTGGGGAAGGTGTCATGTTTTCAGAAGAGAGTGCTCTCCAGAACACAGGTGAGGTGTAGCATTCCTCTAGTCCTTCCCTGGCTTTTTTCAATGCTGTGTCTGGGTTGTTGATGTGTACAAAATGGATCATCTTGATGTGCCGTGGTGATTTTTTGCCTGGCCACTTTGTCATCAGATCCAATTCCTCACTCGATGAAAGGCCTTTAGGCCCTTGGTAGCATTGGTGAAAGAAGACTTCCATGCCCTGAAACCCTCTAGCTTGTCACCATAACTTAGTGAGCCGCTGTACACAAGTTCATGCCAAGCCAAATATTTTGCAAGTCATTGACAACTGGATCTCAAATCTGGTTTCCTGGTGTTGTACTTTGCTTGTGCTTTTAGTTGTGGCACACCTTGCTGATTCTTGGTCTCGTCACCAGCTTCAGGGTCTGAGAAATTGTTTGCCGTTTCGTGACTTGAGGGTTGTGCTTGCATGTGGAAGTAAACTCTTGTGCGTCTCCTTAATGAGTGGTGAGTAAGACCTGATGCTGTTGCACACCGATTCCAGTGATGGCACAGATAAGTAGCTGGTGTGCAAGTCAGCTTGCTGCTGCACAAACTGACAAGTGCATTTGGCGATGTTTTTGGGTTTACACCATTATGCCGTTTTTGATTCAGGATGCCCAGTTCGAAGGTCTGCTTCTACTTCCAATGCCTCAGCTTGAGCCACAGCTGCTGTGGCTTTTCTCTGGAATCTCAGCTTTCTATCTCTGCTTCCAGTCTCACCTTTTCCAGAGTCATCCTGGCATTTCTCTCGGCACTTTCCAGGTTCATCTTTGGTTCTTTCTCAGCAAATGATGTACAGACATGAGCTGCCTTTGCAATGGCACGAGGTCTGGTGGCTTCATTAATTGTGGATGAAGATAAACGTGAGCCCTTCAAACCTGTCTCAGGCTAGTTTGTTTCATACAGATCCGGATCACAATCAGTGATCTATCACTGATTCACTGACACCAGAGCCTGCATAATGGATAGCTTGAAGTGAACTTACTCCGAGATCACTGATTGTGATCCAGATCTACGTGAAACAAGCTGTTTGTTGAGGTCAAAGATCACCATGTACAGTCCACGAAAGTGGCATACACATCAGCTAAATGACAGCATGACAAAATCACCTTTTCTGAGTAGTAGAAGAGAGTATATGAAAAAATTTATATAGAAATAAATATTCAAAAATTCATAGAAAATCAATGGATAAGGCTATAATGACGTAACTTTGCAAACATGCTTTGGGGTTCACTACCTACCCAATGAATGTCATGTCAATTAGACGTTGTTTAGTATGTGAATCAAAATCATACATTTTTCATACTACCAACACATCTACTTAGCCGACTTAAGATCTTGCACAAAGAATTTTGAAAAACAAAATTGTTTATTTAGAAGATACACTGAAAAAGAGTGTTAAGGAATAAGACAAATGGAAAATAATAACAAAAAAATCAATGGATGATGTTGTCATGATGCCATTTCTACACATCTTGCAATGTGACTGTGCTAAGATTTAATCGGATCAGACGTATGATACTGGAGATTTAGGACTGCAAAGAATTCAACTTTTAGGGCATGTCATGTGACATCTAATTATGTCATCAAGACGTCATGTCTTGAGACACATTATTGTAGCTTTGATGAATATACTGATTTGCAAAAGGCCCAAAGTGGTATACAGAAAAGGCATGTACAAAGTGAACAGGTCTTGGGGGAAGAAAAAGAAGAAATGAAAAAACAATCAACAGAAAAAGAACACATTTTCACAACTTAAAGCTAAAAGATCACAAGAAAAAGAATGCCTTTTCCACAATACTACCAAAAGCCAATGAGGCAAATATGCGTGTAAGCTTTGAAATGGGAGTGCTCGGTATTTTGCTCTTTGTATATCAAGTTGTAAATTGTACATACAGAATGGTCAAATTCTAATGTCTTTGAAATGCAGGGGTTAGTGAAAGAAGACATTGTATTTCACTAATTATGAACATATTTCAAAATTTTTGGAGGACATGATTAAACCGTCTTTCTGAGAGGATTAGGTGAGGGATTTTATAAACATATATAAAAATAAATCACAAATATCACCAATAAGCACTGAGCATGCAGTGCTTATTAATATACATTGAGTAAGGGCAAAACCTGTTATATATAAATATCACCAAGTTCCCCAATGGATTTAAGATTGTGTTGATTGTGATATTCCTGTAAATCAGGGAAAGCAACAAACTTTGGAAAAAGAAATTACTTCCCTTTTATCCCAAAAGGAGAAGATGGCTAGTCACAAGCCAAGATCACAAGTCCAGGGTTTTTCTCTATCTTTTACCTCATTTCCAAAAATGGTACAAGATAGAGAATGGCCAGCAATAAGCAACTTTAAACTACTTAGAAAATTCATTTCACCCTGACGAACACCCCCCCCCATTGGTGATAACCTGGCTCAGACTGCTAGGACATAATATGGCCTGTCTGGTAGACCTCTAGCCATGGTGCAAACTTTGCATGTGTCCACTTTGGCTAAGGCCTCTGGTCGGCCATCATCCATACAAAGATGCTCTTCATTGTATAGTACCAATTGCTACCATTATTTATCTTCATGTTGAACTTCGTTTTTTAATTTTGGCCATTTTATAATTTGTAATCACTATTTCTAGGATACACACAAGAGTGTTCACTTATATGCTTGACTGATTACATGGAATTGTTCGGTCCTTTGTCTACCATAAATACTTACATATAACTATCACAAGTGTGGCATCCAATTTGTCACTGAAAGGGTTAAGCTACATACATGTCAAAGGGAGCAATCAATGTTCTCTCGTCAATACCCATATTTTAGTTGTTTTTACTAATTTGATTGACTTAGCTGATAATGTAAGAACACTCAATGTTCATCAACCATTAATACTAATTCATACTAATATTGTCTTGCCTGCCTTTTTAACCTGTGTGATATTCTTTAGTTATATGGAAGTTTCTATTGTATTCAAAATATTTTTAATGGAATGGTGTCTTTTGGAACTTGGCCCCTAAGCCTTGATCAGAGATGAAGAAAACGAGAATTGAATTGAATCATTGTTTGACTTCAGTTTTCAAAGTTGCAGTAGCTCATTAGATTGTTCTTTGTATTGGATACAATTCTATTAACTCTATAATTGCTTACTTCTAGTGATTCAACACATAAACTACATCTAATGTTAAATCACGTCCTTTTCAATTGTTAGATTCAAAGAAGAGCCATTCATCGACATCCAGTTTCCTGAGAGTGAGCAAGATTTTGAGGTACCCCCGGATGTTCCAGAACAGCCAAATCAGCCACTAAATTTACAGAGTCTTAATGCAATGGAATTAGAAGACCAAACTCGTGTAACAGCCACCATGACAGAAGATGATAATCACTGGTACCCATCAGCATATGTTAAGTCAGAGGCAGGGACAGAGGCTGGATCAAGGCATGAAGAGAGGGAGGGGATGGAGACTGATGAGGAGCATCCTGACCAGGTGCGTGTGATTCTAATTTGTCAAAGACATTCATATCTGTAAATGTCGAAGAGGACAGGGTTAATGAATGAATAAGACTGGGGGACTGTGTTTGAGATAGATCAACAGGGTTGGTGCTCTGCAATATGGTTATGCAACCCTGCCCCCACCCATGAAAGCCTTTTCCAGCTAGCAATAATTTCTATCTAATGCCAAATAATTTTGTTGCAAATATCAAAATCTCAGTGATCTCAGTATGAAATGTTAATGCTGTGTTAGTCCCTTAAAAAGATGCACACCACTGCCCTTTGTGAGAAAAAGGGGAAACAACTGGCCGGATCGGTATTTTGACATATAGTTGTTTCCCTACATGTTAGCTGTGGTATGACTACTGTTGACTGATGCATGTAACCAAGCAAGATGTGTAAGATGACAAGTTTTTCTATGTTTGAACCTCCCCCCCCCCAAAAAAAAGAAAAGTTGAGACCATGGTGCACTCAGGTGGGTTGTGTTGAGTAAGGTATTCTTCTGGAAACTACAAACAATGCAGTGTTGTGGGACAACCAGCTTTGGGCCTTTAGGGCAGATTTAGTCGTTCACAGAGGACAAGTTGCTCATAAAAGTTTGTCCCCTTGGGCACAGGTATGTTCAACATTGGAAAAAGTTTATCACTATCTAATTGCTCTTTGGCTAAATTTAGATAAGAAATTGTTAATCCAAAATGTGCTCAAGTTCAGACCAGAAAAATTACACAAGCACTACCCAATGTACCTGGCCAAAAAGGGGCTTGATAAGTTACTCCTGTAATCGAGAGCGGTCATGTTAACCATACATCCAGACCTTCCTAAGGTTCTGGTTTAATATAAAAGCACGCTCAGAGAAGAGCACTGACTGGCTGCCCATTGTGGTCCATTTATGGCTTGACAAGCATGTCGTTTATTGTGCCGGCTTAATGGCATTGGCATTACGTGGGACGCCATCAAAATGCTGCTGTCCATGTTTGTCATTTTTTTAACAAATTAAAACAAGCTTTCTGCAAGCAATATTTTATTGTATGATCAATGCAGAGCCATGTTTTTAATTTTTGTCTTGTATCCTAATTCACTACACCTGGCAGCTTTGAAATGGTTTATTTCCAAGTGCTACCACTTTTTGGTTAAAGTTACTTTCTGTATTACAATAAACGAGAAATTGAAGCATGTTTAAGGGATTTCCTTTTGTCTTAAAGCCAGATCCCAAATTATGTTTTTGGAAAAGTAAGTTGCACAATGATCACAAAGGGTGCCAACATGAGCTGACACAACTAATTAGTGCTCTGGAAAATCAACTTTATTTCAGTCAAATAAAAAATCGCCTCCATCTCTTCCAACAATCCTACTGCGAGTATTACTCTTGTCGACCATATACAGTCAAGTTTGATATGAAATATGCCTCCGAGGAAAGAGAAAAAGGGACAATTTCAACATCGTCCACATCGAATCTCTTACTTGTGCCAGACGAGTCAGGTGACCTTCCCGGCCCAACAAATGCATCATCACACATAGACGACACAATAACAAGTGTGAGGAGGGAGATTCAATCCATGGCAGAAGATTTAAACAAAAAGCTGGACACTGTCATTTTCAATCAAGAAAGCCTGCTGACAACAATCAAAACTTTGGAAACCAAACACAATAAGATGGAGGAGGCTATCCAGTTTTCGTCATCGACAATTGAAGAAATCCAAAGCAAAAATAAATCCATGTCTGACAGGATTCCCAAGATGGCAATACAGATGAATACAGCCCTGACAAAAGCCAAACACCTTGAGGAGGCCACCCTGCAACTGGTGTAGCATTCCATAAGTTTTAAGTTAAGGTTCAGTGGGATCCCAGAAAACCTGAAGGAGCCAACTACTTTCCCCTATGATACGGTCAAGAAGATCCTGACTGAACGTTTCAATATGCTGGACGCGGAAATTGAGGCTGCCCACCACACAGGCAGGGCCCTGAAAGCAACAACGGACAAGCCTCAACATATCATTGCCAGATTCTTGTACCGAACCGAGCGTCACTCTGTACTTATGGTGCCAAGGAAGCTCTGACAAACACGGGAATGTTCATTCTACCTGACTTGCCAGCTGCCAATGTCACCAAGAAAAGATCTCTGCAAGACGTCACAAAAAGGGCGTGTGACGCTGGCCACCACCCCATCTTCCGCAATGACGATTTGTGTATCCAGGGAAGGAAATGCACAGCACCCAAAGCCACTTGAGCACATCAGGGCTGTATCGTATATTTATCATCCTATTATATTAATCTTAGTTGATTTTCCGGTCCACAATAATTAATTCCCTCCTGTATACTCATACACCGTATTACTGATTATTGTAGTGTTTAACTGGTTAAACCAAATTTTCTTCAGTTGGCTTGACTGTTTAGTATTTTATTCTTCGTGTTCATTTTTTATGTCAATGGTGCTTCCTTGTGTGTCTCGTACTCTGCCAGTTAAAAGTTATCAACATGAGATAGTTTGTAATGCTTGTGACAGTTGTGTTTTAAAATATTGTGGCTAGATCTCCTGAACTTCTTGAGAGAGAGACTAATAAAGCAGCCCCAAGGCAAAGGGATGCAGGCCCGTTTGGGTGGAAATGTACCGCTGGAGGAATTGATTGCTGAACCTGCTAAATAAGTCACCAACATGAATGCGACTGAACACCTAGTTTTGAGACATACAAAGCAATTCTGGTTTATTGTACAACAAAAAGAAAGGCAGTAAAATGACGATGAATGTGGACTCAAGTAGGACCCTTTAATGACTTGTTAAATTCGCCATATGGTAGACCAGCACAAGTGCAATGTTGACTACAACCAATGTGTGGTTGACTAACTCTTGCACAAGCTTGACCACCTTACTGCATGTACTGTGTGGTTTACTACAATGCTAATATACAACAGCAGTGGAGCCTATTCGAATGCATGTGTGGTTTACTTGAGTGCATGTGTGGTTTACTACAGCTGCAGGTGTCTCTTGTCAACCACATACATGTAGAACGTAACCACAAGAAAGCTGGGTCCCAGTTCACCACTATTCACCTGAGCAGTGAACACCAACGCTGCTCTCAACTCGCGGTATACGCTCACCTACTTTTGGTTGACATAACATATCTGTGAAGCCTCTACTTCACGTGCAAAATATCTCATTCCACGCACCAACAAAGAACAGACCACTCATCCTAACTACATGTGTGGTTGACTAGATTGCCTCTACGAAGAACGACCATTACTCTAGGTGTGGCTTAATTACTACTTCTATTCCACGCACCAACGCGGAACGCAACAAAAATCAGCTTATTCTAGCACCAACGAAGAATGCTACTAGGCCAAATATACACTTCCCGCTGCCAGTAACCTAGCGGTGATACTCAGTCTTTCTAGAAAGCCTAACCATTAACATGACATCTCCCACCAGCAACTATAGCGGTCTCCTAGTCAACCACACACACACCACGTGCAGCTATCCTAAGCCAACCATACACAACTAGCACTCAGTAAGAACAAAGACTGCTTACCTTATGGCTTCTCTTCACTGCACTGCTTGCGCACACACTCCCTCGTGCACACGGCACAGCTGGACAGCATGCAGCCAATCACAACGCTGCACGCGCTGTCCACATGACTCTCCCCATGACATTACTCACTGGGGAACTCCCCTAAATTGACCAATCTTTTAAACTAAACTAAGTCACATTTTCGCTACAATATGTTTCCCTTTGGATTGTTAGATAACCATGATTTTCAGGTTGTTGCTCAGGGTAAGATTAACTCACCATCAACTACCTATAGTCCAGAGTCTGAATATGCTGATTCTAACATCCCATTTCATTTTGACAACAATTCAAATTATTACTCAAATGAACAATACACAAGGGCCTATAAATATGAACGGTTTTTTCTCCTGCAAATCAATATTAGAAGTCTTTAAACAAATTTTACCAACCAAAGATTCTTCTGTTCTCAATGAATCACAAGTTTTCAGTTATTGCATTATTGGAAACCTGATTGGAAACAGAACCCCATAATCACTATTTTTTTACCAGGATACAAACTTATAGTTAACAACAGACAGGGTAAAAAATGCGTGGGCATAGCCCTCTTTCTCCGATGAGTTTGATTTTAAAATAAAACAGGACTTAACTTTTTCTGAAGAGACATTGGAAACTCTTCTAGTTGAAATTTCATTTCCTGTCTTGTCTCTGGTGACTTTAACATTAACTTACTTGATTATATGGCTCCCAACTCTCAGGCTTTTGTCAATATTATTTCTACTCATTCTTTATTACCACTAATTAATAAGCCTACTAGAATAACTGAATTCTCAGCCACCATAATTGATAAGATTTTGTATAAAGTGTTGCCATCACCAAATGCAGGCATTATCCTGTCTGATATCTCAGATCACTTACCAGTTTTCACGATAATGCCACTCAAAAAACCTTCCACTCATCTAACATCCATAATCGTGTTCATACTCATCATTTTACTTCTTCTAATATACGAAGAAGATCTCCATACTACTGATTGGTCTCCTATAAGAACCTGTGACGATCCCAACCAAGCATTCAATTGATTTATTGACAAATTCAACGAGAAGTTAGACATTAATATTCCTCTAAAATTAGATAAACCTACATCTAGGACTAGGCGTAATTCTACAGCTCCTTGGATGACTAAACTTCTTCTTAAACCCATTAAAAAGAAAAATTAACTTTATAATCATTATATTGCTAATCTGACAACTGAACGAAAACTGAAATATACTAAGTACAAAAAACATCTTAATCAGTCTTTTACGGAATTCTTAAAAACGATATCATGCTAATTAGTTCAATCAGGAAAAGAATATTATTCATAATACTTGAAAAGTCATCAACTAGGTTTTAAACGATAAATTGCCCTCCCAGTCTATCAGTAGAATTATCCATGAAGACAAACCAATTGGTGATCCTGACCATAATATTGCCAATTGTTTCAGTGAATATTTTGTCAACCTAGGTCCTAATCTTGCAAAACATATTCCCTGTCTACCGAAGTCATTTACCTTTTTTGAACTTTTATAACTTTTTGAATAATCCCAACCCAAGATCTTTGTTTTTGAAGCCAATAAATGAGAAAGGGGTGATTGATATCACCAAGAATCTAAAAAATAAAACCAGCACTTGTCATTATTTAATTAATTGCTTTATTATAAAAAACTATTACTTCAATTAGTGATAGTAATAATAATTACTATTTAATTATGAACTAAATTTTTAAAAATCCCTCTCGTCTTAATTAATCATATAATGATTATTATATTAATTAATCATATAATTAATGTCTCATTTAAAACTGGAATAGTTCCTGATGCACTAAAAATTACAAAGATAATTCCCATTTTCATAAATGGGGATGTTTATTTTGTTTTTTAACTACAGGCCCATATTTATTTTGACTTGCTTGTGTAGGATATTTGAAAAAGTATATATACTCTTTTTATCCAGTTTTAGCAAAATCTTTCAACTCTCATTAATACAACTAATCATGGGTTGAAATCCATTTGTAATTGGTTTGTTGTGAACAAATTTTCTCCTAATATAAAGAAAATTTATGTTATTTAGTACAACTGCTAATTAATTTCCTATAGACATTAAAATAAATAATGTATCCATCGAAAAAGTTGATTGTATTAAATTTAAACTATATATTGACTCTAAATTAATCTGGGTCAAACATGTTGACTGCCTTCGTAAATTTATTGCAAGAAATATAGGGGTTATCAATAGAATCAAACATTTCATCCCTCCTGTAGTTTTAACTTCACTTTAGGCTTGGAGTCAAAATAGAAATGGTTGACCAAGCGGGAAATGGTTGCCCTTAATCCCCTTTCAAACCGTTGCCCGATTCAACTGCAAGTGGGTAATGGTTGCAAGGCACCGTTTCCTGAAAGAGAATTGGCTATGCGGCAACCCCTTTGATGCATACTACCATCTCCCCCACCTTGTTACAAAAGCCCTGACTCCCAGCTTACCAGGAATGGTTATTGTGCATCGCCTTTGTTGTGTAAATTGGCCAGTTCCTCCACAGGCTTCGCACGGCTTATTCAGAAGGCCGAAGCAACTAATCTCTTTCAACAAAAAACTAACTCCATCAGAGTCTGTGGGCTTACGTGCATCAGTTCTCATGCCATTGAATTAAAATCTGTTGGTTTCTTTCCCCACATCTAGCACTGTCAGGCAGTGATTTCCACATTATAGGTTGGTTAAAGATTGGAATAGACAAGAGACAAAATGGAGAAGAAAACTGTCTTACATCACCGAAGGTATTTTCATCAGCCAACAGCATCAACTGTTTCTTATCTTTATTTACACATACACTTTTAATTTTTACCATCGGCACAATCATCTTCTTGATCGAATTGCTCAATTTGCATGACATTGTTTTTTGCTTTTTACCCGTTTTCCCGATTTTTGTTTTACTTAAAATCCATTTCTTGTTTGAAGATTGGTTTTCAGTTACCCGTTGACTTGGTCTTGAAACATTTTCATTGAAACGTTAACAACTGTACTAGTTTTCCATTGTAAAACTCGGAATAACGTTTATTTTCCACTCCTTTCCATTACAACTGGTGAATTAATTTTCATCCAAATGCTTCTAAATGTACGGAGGTTTTTCATAATAAAACTAAGGATAAAGGCAATGCTGTTAAAACTTGAATAAACCCTTCATCTTACTTGATTAAAATTTTCTACGGAAGCTATGAATAAATATATATAATTAACATCTCCCCAACGCAAAAATACATCTTGAAAATAGTTTGTGGTACCGCTGCTTCATTTTGACTTGGACCGGCCAGCCGACCCCGGCAAGC